AATAATAATAATAATAATAATAATAATAATAATAATAATAATAATAATAACGATAATAGTACTGATAATAATAGTAAGAATAATAAAATAATTTATCGATTTATTTATTGACACAAGAGCACTAAATGCCACCTCACATATGCACACGACCGCGAATGAGTCGAGTACATCTCAATGAATTAACAATCGCCAGTATTGTCCCAAGGCATCGCTTTCAAACTGCATCTCGTTAATTCCAGTTGTGTGCAGTTCGAATCGGTGCAACATTCTATCCCTTCGTGCCACACTCTATCGACGTTCCATCCCCATCCGATAGCATTCAACCATCATCCAAATTATCCCACTCTCGTCGCATCTCCACATATCCATCCCCATCCCAAATGCTATCATCCAAATTATCCCGCTCTCGTCGCATCTCCACATATCCACCCAACAATTCTGTGAGTATCTCCAAACGATGCACACTCTCCTAACTTACACTTCAATGTATATGTATAAAAAATGAAACCGTTGTGGCATTCCAACACGTCTCTTTAATGTTTCCAATATATATTTATTTAATAAGCAGTTATAACAACCTATGAGTTATCACCGATCTGTTATCACTAATCTTATCATGTATCATTGCCATCTCTGCTCTCACTCAAACATCTGAATTAAAGTGCAGCGAACTGTTTTTTGCCATCATGAAACAAGCAAAGGGTCGACGGACAAGTGCACTCGCCACGGTTGGCCTCGTGCAATTACCGTAGGCCCAAGCGGAGCTTAATTTGAGTCGAGATGACTTTTCGCCATTCGGTCAAGCTCAACTCCGACCGTCTGTCGCAATGGTGTCGGTTGGAATCCGATCGGACCCACACCATTTTGAATTTACAACGCCCTGAATTTCGCAGTTCGACCGGCCGGAACCCGAATGCCGGCCAAAATTATCAGCTCTTTCCGACCGAGCGTTGGCCGGTTGCCATCAGCACTTCAAACGCACGATAGCGAATTGTAACGCCGTCCTTCCTTTCTGACTTGCCGGTTAAAGATTCACAATAAACTTTATGAAGATAGTCGAGAATCGAACTGCTTTCAGCTCGAGCAGCGATGTAAGCCCAATTCAAGGCTAACACCTCAGTGCACACCAGTCCTTCACACCAGCCACACACCCACGCTCGTGCCTATCGTCCATTTAACAGCGCCCACACTCGATAACGTTCCACCTCAACTTCTCAAGCTCTTCTAGGCTGAAGCATACACTCGCACGCTTGGCCAGAAGAATAAATCGAAGCCTGGGCACGATTCAAGCGTCTGCACCAGCAGTTCAGGCTGTTGCAACCTCCCAAACCCACGCAACTGGCAGGTCATCCCTTCTTTCCTGATCTTATCGATGATTTACTCTCCAGCCGTCTATCAGCCACTCAAAAAAACTGCTTAAATGAACTGAAACCGCTGACCATTAGGCCGAAACGTCAATCTCCTCTCATAATTCGACCTGAAGTCTTATGGTACCTTGACAAGGTCTTCTAAAAGACACTGCAAGATGCCAAAAAACTTAACATCAACAACAAGTTCGCCCACCATCAAAACAACACCAAAAAACTGCCTTCAGAAAGCATAGTCCTTATGATTTATAACAGTTTTACAAAAGACAACACTGCAATTAAGTAAAAAACTTCTATCAATAATAATAATTATAACAAACGAGAAAATTATTACTATTAATAAGTTAAAAACCTTTCAAATTGAAAAGATAACACGTATAAAATCAATTCGCTATGCTGAAGAAACATTACCTCTGCATGAGGGGAATCCTACCCCGAAAATAATCTAAAATTAACACGAACCCCGCTACATTCCGCCAGTTGCTACGGGTTTGCAGAGCGACAGAATGCATTATTACAGGCTTCAATAATTCAGCAGCGAGAATACTGTTCAATAGCAGATGCATAATATCATAGAACATACATCCATCCTAACATAACATTAGCACAAAAAACATGTTAAAACTGAAATGGAACTATTGAAACTGATTACGAAGAGAAATTGCAGTGACAATTATGTAACACCGGACGCACAACAACAACGATAATAAATAAACACCGAAATTCACAAAAAGTTGACAAAATTCGTGGAGGGGGGGGGGTGTGGTACCAAAACTTCAGCTGATGAAATTGCCAAAATCTGGGCAGGTCAGACGGCCACAAATTTAGGCTTGCGGATTTCTGAACTTCTCTCCTGCGTAAACGGCCGCCGAGCCGAGCTCTTCCTCGATTCGCAGAAGCTGATTGTATTTGGCTAAACGTTCCGAACGGCACGGCGCACCGGTCTTGATCTGGAATGTGCGATAACAATAATAGTAATAATACACATAATAATATATAACAATAATATGCAATAGTAATAATCAACAACAATAATACACGTATACATCACATTGCTAAGATGTGTGGGTGGGATTTGGCACATCTTCCACGACCATTGTCAGATTGTGCGGTTATCGAAGAGACACCAAGCCCCGCCCACATGTCGTTGGCATATCTGCCCCACCAAATTTCTCAACAGTTCACCGCAACATGGATATAACAATGGTATTCATATATTAAGACAACAATAACAATAATAGTAATAATAATAATAATAATAATAATAATAATAACAACAAACAATAAAAGTACCTGTCCTACGGCCAAACCCACCACTAAATCTGCGATGAACGTGTCCTCAGTCTCGCCAGAACGATGCGAAACCATCACGCCCCATCCGTTTGCACGCGCAAGCTTGGCTGCCTCGATCGACTCCGTGACGGATCCAATTTGGTTCACCTGAAGCAGGAAATAACTAAGGATCACGATAAGCTTCGCAACATTCCGCACAAAAAGGCACTTTTTTACTTTGAGGGGGTCGCACGCGAGCACGCTCGCGTACAACGATACGCACGCGCGGCAATGCGTACGTGTTAATACTGACGCGCGAGCAATATATGCATAATATTGCACTGAGGACAACGAAAACAACAATATAAAAAACAATAAAGCAAACCGATGTTAATAGTAAAAATACCTTCAACAAAAGGCAGTCGCACGCCTTCTTATCAATCGCCATCTGAATACGCTCACGGTTTGTGACCGTCAAGTCGTCTCCAACCAACTGAATGTTAAGAGTACTCTTGAATTTGGTCCAATTCTCCCAATCGTCCTGGTCGAATGCGTCTTCAATGGACACAATTGGATACTCCTGAACGAAACAGACATTATTTCTGCACAAAGTCCACAGATAAATCCAACTTTTGGGCCATTTTCCGTTTCGAGTCAACTCTCGCGAACATTTATCATGAAAATCTATGCAAATTCCACAGAGTACTGCAGAAAGTCCGTCGAGAACAAACATTTTTCAGCGAACCTTTACGAACGAGTGATAAATCTCGGCCAGTTGATCTCCAGTCTTCCATTGGCTCTTATCCGAATTCGGATTCTTGAAGTCTAGATCGTATTTTTTCTCATCGGCCTAAAAATTGTGGGAAATGAATTCCATATCCCAGAAAAACGGAGAAAAATTTACGATGACAATATACTGAAGGCCGTAAAAATAGTGTATAATGTATAATTACCGTAAGACTGTACTGCACGATTAACTGTGCAACACAATTAATTACATATAATTAATTGTGCAGTAATTACCACCCCAACGCATGAAGTATCCCTGCCAAAAGAAAACCCCGCTGTGTACCTTGTAGAATTCGGACGCAGCCGTGTCCATAGCGATCGACACCTTGCCAGTATAACCAGCCAGAGCAATGGCCGTGTTCAACAGGTCCAACCCCTCCCTGTTATCCTGAATATTCGGCGCAAAGCCACCCTCGTCTCCGACTGCTGTCGCATCCAAACCGTAACGTTTCTTGATCTCTGCCTTAAACTCCCATTTTATCAACATCTCCAACAATATTCCAGGCAGATCGCAGGCCCCGTCCCCTATCAACACACCGAACACCGTGTAATTACTGTACAATGCACAATTGCTGTATGACTATAAGAATGTGCTGCATAATTAACTAATTACATACATATAATTATCACCGTCAACACCCCAAAAACAATCAATTCAGAGCTCATTACTGTATTCTATTTGCACGTAATCCTGAGTTGGGAAGACCTTAGTTAAGACTTGTGCAACGCAATGCATTTCAACCGTAAAAACTACGGTTCTCGCTTGAATCAACCTAAAGCTGGGCCTAGGCTCAATCTTAAACACCTTTCAAGAGCACATCCCGATCTGAGAGCAGAATCCAAATTCAGGTTACGTTGCATGGTGACACATGCCATATGAACCTTTACATACGTACCTTCAAATGATGATAAATCTCAGAGCCCATTCGCATTGCTTCGGTGAAATTCTTCGCTCCGATTGGCATAATCATAAACTCCTGAAGGACAAATCTATGACATTATCTCGGAAACATCTCTGAACCTCCGCAAACTCATAATAATCCTCCCCCCCCCCTCTCTGCCTCTCTGGGAAAAAAATTCCGAATGAATTTGCAAAATTCCCAGAAAGATTCTAAAAATCCTTTCCAAGACTTACCCATGGCCTGCTTATTCCTCTAAAAAGTGCCCAATCCTCGGCCTGTCCCTATGTAAATCTCTGCAAATCACGCACCTGCATGGCCAATTTGTTTCCTGCATGCGATCCTCCATTGATAACGTTGAACGACGGCACCGGCATAACTACCTGCTTCACACCGGCCAATTCAGCGATATACTTGTAGAGTGGCATTCCCTTGTGCACTGCTCCAGCCTTGGCGACCGCCAACGAAACGCCCAGAATTGCATTCGCACCCAAATTCGCTGCAATTCCATCCAATTTCTTTGATCACCACATCAACCATTTGTGATAAACACCATCAGATAGAAAAAATCCTGACATCCTCATTCGAAAAACCTAGAAATCACGCCCTGCCTCGGACATTAAATCTATTTTGGGCTCTTGAATCACGCCCTCCGCCTTCCTAGGGGTCACATTGACCGCGCTCGACCCTCGCTCTCTCCTTTAAATTTGAAATAAGCACCTTTATTCGCAGTTCCGTCCATATCCAGCATGAACTGATCGATTTCCTTTTGTTGGGTGGAGCAGAAGTTCTGCAAAAATGATCGAAATTAAATGGAGACAAGACATGATCCATTGGCAATCACGAATCTAATCACAACCTCCCTACTTCTCGAACTTACCCTTGAACTTCCTTACTTCCTAAGCCTACCCACCTTAGAACTTACCATCACCGATTCCTTCGGACCCTTCAGTGGCCTCAGCCTCGAGAAAATACCCAGGAAAGAGGTTCTCAGATTCGGACCATACAAAATCTCAACCACACGGAGAATCTCCTCAGAACTGCTGGTCTCAAAGTAAAAAATTAAGAAATCTCCTCACCCTCCCCCCCCCCCCACACCTCACCTGGAATTCGATTTCAAAAACTTCTTAACATATATCACCAATTACCTTGGCCACAATCGCAGGTGCAATCTTGTCATTAATATTCGCGACAGCCTTCAGCACGCTCTTACCATGGTTGACGGCTTTGTCTCCGTCACGGAGCTCGAGCGCCTCATGCACTCCGGTGGACGCACCGCTTGGTACCGCAGCACGGAAAACACCTGAAATTCACATGAACTTAGCTGCACAACACTGAGACCTTCCACCCAGCTGACTAGAACGAGCCAAAGGTTCGCCCTTCATAAGCTGAGCATTTCAGGTCTCAAACCAGCTCTGATCCACTCTTCCCGTTTCTAGTTTCCAGCTTGATCCAATCCAAACCTCAGTATCAAAATCCACAAACCTAGCAGTTCCAATACAGGCGATGCACACTCATGTTGCCCTACTGCCACTCTACAGTACACAATCCATGCGTGACTATTATTCAGACTTGTCCTCATAAGTAGTTTTTACCCATCAATTCAAATCAAAACCTACCCGCAACTACAACCTGTCAATCGCAACCTTCCCGACTTCCCAAGCCTTTTCCCGCCCGAAAATGTAATGAGACTTTCCCGAAACGATGATGAAATTCGAACCTTTCTCAGTGGTCAAATCAACCTCAACGGTTGGGTTACCACGAGAGTCGTAGATTTGACGAGCGTGAATACGAGTGATCGGCATTGCGAGTGATGATGCAGTTGTAGAAAGTGCGGCGATATGCTGCCCAAAGAGTGGCGATTTGCTGCAACAACGCAGCGCACTATTATTATCCGCATTCAGCAACCAAAATACACACACACATTTCACGATAAATCATTCTTATTCCAAATTTTTCTGCACAAATAAATGCATAATTATAATTTCACAGCAATAATAATGTGATCTCGCAATGAAATGTTACTAAACAACATCAGTCTGCATGAGGTACCAGTTGCGCAAGTCAATGGCAGCATTTTTCGATAGCAATTGCTATTGGCACAGGGATAGCCGCCGGCTGTAGGATCCCTTTTGGTTACCTGATTATGAGTGTTTTTTTTAAATAGGAAGTTTCGAAATTACTGCTTTCTCAAAAACAGTAAACATTACCCAGAATTCAATGATACTATCCACGACTTCAGTTAAGCATAACATTCCTCTTAGGGCACTTGTTTACTTTGGGGGACATGCACGCGTGCACGCTCGCGTGTAACAACTGAGGCCATGCCTACTGCACATGGCCGCAGCCTAAGTGCAACCTCAGCCCTATATGAGCGTGGCCTCAGATCGCTCGATGTCACAACAGAGGCTAGTAGGCGAGCTCAGGCTTAGGCTTAGGCTGAGGCCATGCGCAGTGGGCGTGGCCTCTATCTACGTGAAAATGCTGCTCACAGTGTGTTAGCGCATGTATGTGTTGTTGTATGCGAGCGTGCTCGCGTACGAGTCCCCCAAAGTAAACAAGTGCCCGTCTTATTTCGAAATGGTAATGCGATTTTGCATCACCGATAACAACTCTTCCTAGATTCGCTTCGATTGAAGCCTTCAGTTGCACACATCAGAAACTTTGCACGCAACACTCCATAATAACATGAAATTCTCACGCATAAAGTCATGAATCATTAAGATACTTTCATCACGAAAACCACAAAAAGCGACTGCTGTACAAAAGCGTACAAAAATGCGGAACGACAGTACTCAACTTATGAATTTACACTTCTAAATACCCAACAAAACAACAAATGAAACACTCAAGGTCATCGTAGCCTTAAAAGCGTATTGCTGGAACAATGAAAATATCGTGAGAAGTACTCCGGGCACTTATGCTGTTTAGTCCCTCCACCCGCACGCAGACAAGCGTGCATTACCATTTGCGCTTTCAACCACACCGCTGCACGCTGTCATGCGCGCTTTAGGCCACGCCCACTCTGTTACGCTGGCTTTGGCCATGCCCTAGCACCCAGTGGGCGTGGTTACGCGCATGCGCGCGTGATTTTGCGTACGGGTGCAGGGACTAAACAGCACGAGTACCGTACTCCGCTCTTTCTAAACCTCTAAAAAACTACTGAAACCCTCCCCCGCCGTCATAAAAACAGTACCATATCGTACAGTACAACACCCAAAACAGTACCGTGCCGTACATCATGCAATCGTGCGACTGGCTCCAGTCCCTCGTGACTGCTGAATATTAACTCCCAAATTTTGAACATACTAGTACGCTGTGGGACGGAAATAATTCGTTGACATGAAAGTCTGGAGACGATCGAATGTTCACTCGGCTCGAAAAAAGAGTACCCACCGAACTTCCCCAATCCCGCCTCACACCACAAAACAAGCACGCACTACAGCAACCGTCACCACCATCTCCGTCAACAACCCAACCCGTCAGCACACCACGCAACCAACAACACAATAACCCTCTGCTCCACTCCATTATCATTACGTTTTTCAACATCTACTTGCGAATACACTCTACGTACACAACCTAGTACATTCAGAGCGACTCTAATACTGCAATAATACAGAATAGAGACAAATATAATAACAATACAACTAACTGATAATAATAACCATACCATAAACATCTATAATTATAATCAAAGAGGTACTTTCAGCTCTCATTCCAGCATTCATATCGCATAAGTAACTCGGACACGATCAGTAATATCATAAGTGCATTGCTAGAATAACAATTATAATAAATATAACAATAAATATGATAAATAGAATGATAAATATAATAATAAATACCATAATAATGATAAAATGATAATAATAAATAGTATAATAATAATAATTATACAAGTAATATTCCAAGTATTAATATTAAAAATATTAACAACAATAATAATACCAGTGAGAACTAGTACAGTAAATAAAAACGTACAAAACTGACAAAACGCCCTCAGACCCACACCGCATGCTATATAACCGCACAGTCATTCCAATCATATGGATAA